GAGGATCAAAATAAAAGTGAAGCTATAACACAGTACACGCAAATTGATCGTATCTCTGAAAGGAAAAACATATTGGTAGTGTCAATTGCATTTAGCTTTCATAAATTTAACAAATGATTGGTGTAGAAATATTAAAAGAAATAATTGAAAGAGACTTAGACCACCGCTCCAAGTAATTGTAAAGGGTGAAGATGAAGTGGTTTACTTATATATAAAGTTGATCAATCTGATTCATACATTAACACATAAGAAAACTAATAGCTGAATTAACAAACTGCATATTAGTAAATGACATCCTATAGTAACAAACACTTAGAAAAACACTTAAAAACTCAAAGACCAAAGTCAAAATACCAACGGGGTCAAGCTGAATTGATCAGCCTCAAAATTGGTTTTTTAAGTTGCTAGCCCCTGAAAATTTCCAACCTGTAAGAACAACCTGTCAAATTTTTACAAATTAAATTGTCAATAATTCAAATTCAGGTTAGTGTTGTCAATTGCAATTTCCAAAAAACAATGGTTTGTTCAATTTTCACTAAGCTACGGTGCTATTGCGACAATACTTTTCACCACATATTGAGCAATAAATCTAATAGAAAGTGGTAAATGCATGCAATAGAATCACTACTTTCTTGTTAAAAACCACTACCAACGGAGAAGTAAATACAACAAGGGAGACCATCAGAAACAACTTTGAAACACTAAGATCGGTAGTATGTGATCCAGTTAAATATCTTATCTATAGTATAGTGAATAGTATCCACTAATATATCCTGTGTCTATAAAATACCTCCAATAGTTAAATATCATGTGTCTATAAAATACCTCCAACTTTGAAACACTAAGATTGTGTCTATAAAATCTACATCTTTAACTACGTGATACAGTTAAACACCCTGTTTGAAACACTATATAATTCACAAAATTTGAAAACATGAATTTATTCTTATGGATAAGATAAGGTTAAATACAAGGTAGAATTCATTTATAATACCTCCAACAGTCAACAGGCTAAAGCAATCAACCAATAAACAACATATCTCAACAATGTGATATATGATCAATCAAGAACAATTACTTAAAATCAAATGTAAGATTAAAAAGGTAAGTAAATACCTTCATAAGTGAACAAATTCTTTCCCACTATAATGAGTTGCAATGCGCCTATCAGCTATCAAATCTATTTCTTCTGTTCTAATCTACAAAAAATTCAATAATAAATTGAAGAGGATAAACTTCTTAGAAAACTTTGAAGTGAACTTCATGTTTGGATCAGCTAGGGAAGTAGCAATAACATCTTTGGCATCGTGTACAATCATGACTCGTGATGCACCATAACAATTATTCAAATTAGAAACATAATCGACTGAGTTCAAAAACATGAAAAACGTTGTACTAACCTCATGTAGTGCTTGTGCGTCATTTGTTCCATCCTCGGTTACGACCACAACTTTCCCCTTTCTCCTCAAGAGTATATAGGATACATTTGTTATTTTTGAATTATGCAGCAATCAATTGCAAGTGTTCAGTTGTGTAGGAAAAAAGGAAATCAAACTGTCAATAGAAAACCATTGTATGATTATATGATCTAACCTACACGTTCATGATTTTTCATCATTACAAATTGTATACCTATATGAAAGGAAGAAACTAAGGTTCAACTGATAATATACCAATCCCAATTTGTTGACTTTGTATGAGCAGCAGCTGAAAGGGCTTGGTCATTGTCAGCTTTCCTTGAGGATAATAGGAATACTGATCCAAAATCCATTAGTCACGCCTCAGCAGCTCTCAATGGAGCTCTAGCTGCATCAATATGACCAACATCCATAAAATATCCCATTTGTACATTCACCTGAAAAATAGAGTTAATCAATTATAACTTAAATCAACAATGATATAAAAAGAAGGTCCACAAGAAATCTGCCATATGAAATAGAATCATCAGCAGCAATGATGCAATCTCCACTCACAACCTCAACCACCTGTACTATAATAAGATGTAGCAGAAAAATATAATTACAAAAAATGAATCATAAAATAATTATGACTCGAATGATTTAGCTCTTCAGTTTACAGCTAATGCATAGAGAAATAATTATTGGCAGCATACCACTCCTTGAACATCTAAGATTCTGGTGCTTGAATCCATGTGCCTCTTGGAAGCAGTAGTGCATCTTGGAAACTTTATTAGAAAAGATTTCTAAAACTATTGCACGTGGTACCCATGATTTAAGACATTAGTTGTTTCAGAAACCGGTCAAGAACATATGAGGTCGTACTTGAAGGGTTCTAAGGCAAAAAACGATGATTCCAAGTGCTCTATGAGTTGAGTAGGTAATACTGGCCGAGCCACTACCTAGTTTTAGAGCAGTATCCTATCCAGCAACACTGACTATGTAAGCAGCTATTTGATAGGTAACATGTAGAGGGTCTGCAGATTTGAACACCTTCAAATAACTTACAATCATAGCTCTTAAGGGCATCAAGATTACCCATCTCACTGCATTTAATATTCCATGAGTCTAAAACAAATGACAAAATAAATTACATCTGATATTAAGGCAGAGCTACAATCCATAACATAGCAATAAGAAATCAAGATTTCATCCATTTACAATGTGCATTAGGGAACAAAACCCTTCCTCTACCCAATAACAATAATAATTCAGACCACATCCTGAAAAATGGTTAAGATCACCAACTGCATCACAAAAAACCAGATAATATTAGAAACCTTATTGAACAAAGCTGTATAAAATTAAACTTCTTAAAGCTTGGGGTTGTGAGCTTGAGGGTACGGAAGCAAAACCAACATTCATCTGGGTTTGCCAATCTCGATTAGCATGTGGCATATTCCTCATAGCATGCAGAAATGTAATAAAAGTATCATCACAAACTTACCTTGCATTTTGGCGTGTTCAGCATGTAGGTTCCACCATACACAACACTTAAACGCGCAAATGCCTTCAAGTAATCAAAGTTATTGAATTTAATTTCGTAAGTACATTAAACATAAAAGGGAAAATAGATGTGGAAAACCTGAGGCAACTCTCCAAGTCCATATAGAATGAACATGAACCATGAGGAAAACGAATTTGGTAGAATATACCTAACAACAACAAAAAAGCCTTCATGAAGATTAAGAAAGGGATGAAGCATAAGCTTTGCAAACGAAATCTGAAAAGTCAATTTTGAAGATAAAAAATCTAATAAAAGTGATGAAAGGGAAAGACAAAAGGCATTAGAATTCATAAGCTTTGGACAGAAAATCTCTTGATGCAGTTCACGTCGAAACAATCAAAAGCAACCAGCACGCCACAATTCTGGGTGTATTAAACAACTTGAGTTGCCTTATTCTATAACATGTATGTATCAAAGCAACCATCACAAAATATATTATATCGTGTTCAACTTATAGTCAAAAAACTACTTTTCAAGCATCCTGACACAAAAAACAGGAACATTACTGATTTTTACAATAGGAAACATATACCACAAATATTACACATAAGAACGCCATGACTTAATCTTAACCAAATTATATAATTACTTGTTGGAAGTATACACCAAAACCAACATACCTTGATTTTTAGAGCAACAGTTGTTGTCCCTCAGTTTGACGGTGAGCCATAAAGTTTAAAAATATGATTCAACTACTCAACCTACAAGGAAGTAAAATAAATCTTATATACCTCATACATTCATCAACATACCTGAAAATTGAATCATAACTGGCGTAATAACATAATGAATGATCATATAACATTTCAAGCACACTAAATCCGTTTTCAGAAACGAAAATTAAGCTTGTTCATCCTCTCGAAAATCATCCTTCCAAATGTTACCCTAAGAGTATATAACCTATCGAACAGAAGACAAATGAAACAAAAGCCCCAAATTCAAAGTGCATTATACCCACATAATGATGTCTGCATGTCAGCACCAAACTGTTTCAATATCAAATTTCCTTGCTTTCAAAAATAAATATCAACAACAAAATCCAGTAAACAAAAATCCAGTGCAAAGATTCTTTGACGGTACCTTGAGATGAGTGAATATTACTTTGTTCACAGTAACCAGAAACTCTTTGCTTGAAACTGAAACCAGGATCCACAAGTAGATCTCAATCTTCTTCTTTGTTTGAAATCAGACAAGAGAGAAGAAAGTATTTTTAGGTCTAAAATGTGAGAGGGACAAATAGATCTTCATCTTCTTCTTGGTTTGAATCTCAGACCACAAACCACGCCCAAATCTCCGTCTTTTTCAGTTGGAGTTGAAATCGGAACCATGACCCATAAGCATATCACCATCTTCTTCTTTGCATAATGTGATTTTAAGAAGAAATATTGAGAAGAAGAGGAAGAAAGAAGAAAAAAAAATAGAGAAAATGGAGAAAGAGATAGAGAGAGGATACAAGAAAGAGACAGAATTCTGAGAAAGGAGAAAGAGGGTACGAGAAGGGAGAGAAGGTGAGAGAAAGAGGGAAGAAGAGGGTACGAGAAGAGAGAGAAGCTGAGAGTAAGAGGGAAGACAAAAGTGAGAGGTAAATGGTAAGAGTTTTTTGAAAAATTTATGCCACTTGGCAAAATGGGTTCTTCTGATTGGGTGATGAATTATTATTTAGTAAATTACATAAAAGGGTTTTAAGTAGTGTAAATGAAAATTTAGTGAAAGGGTATAAATGGTAGATTGCTGACAATGAATAATAATTGGTAAGTAGTTGATATCTTACTTTTCCCGTTATCAGAAACAAACAATATAACCAAACATCTAAATTAATCAAACAATATAACCAAACATCTAAATTAATTAGTTGTTATAATTCTTTGGTTCATTGTAAAACAATATAAAAAACAACTTTTTAACCATAAACATAACAATTTCTTAAAATTTTTTTCTTATAAACAACCTTCAATCACATTGTGTATTTCACAATTATAATACTTCACACATTTCTACAATATTTTTCAAAGAGTTTAGTTTTGATTGGCTAATTCATGGATACTAAAAGACTACACTGGACCATCATTGTATCATGGCTTACTTTGTTCCAAGGAAACATGTTACTTGTTAAAGGTCAATTTAATTACAAGGAAGCTCTCACAAAATCTCTTATCTTCTTAGAGGCACAAAGATCAGGAAAATTCCCTCCAAATAATAGGGTCCCTTGGCGAGGAGACTCAGCACTCGACGACGGCAAACTCGCCAATGTAGGTCTAAATTCAATTTATTTATAATAAAATTTACACAAAATGAATAATTTGGACTAATGTTTTTTATTTTTGAATTGAATAGGTGGATCTAGCAGGGGGATATTATGATGCTGGGGACAATGTGAAATACGGGTTACCAATGGCTTTTACTGTTACTACATTATCATGGGCAGCAATATTTTACAAAAAAGAACTTGAAGCAACAAACGAAATGGAAAATATTCAAGATGCTATTAAATGGGGTACAGATTATTTTCTAAAATGTAGTTCTAGAAGAAACAAATTATATGTTGAGGTAGGAGACCCTGTTGATGATCATAATTGTTGGGCTCCACCAGAAAAAATGAAAACAAAAAGATCTGTTAAAACAATTGATTATGGAACACCTGGTTCTGAGATTGCTGCTGAAACTTCTGCTGCAATGGCTGCTTCTTCCATTGTTTTTAGATCGATTGATCATAAGTATGCTCGTCATCTCCTCAATAGAGCAAAATTGGTATGCAATATTTTTACAAAATTTATAGTGTTTCGCTTACGTGAGAAAATGGAAACCTTGATTTTTCTCCCACTATCTGTTCAGCTTTTCGAGTTTGCAAAATCACATAAAGGAAGCTATGATGGAGAATGTCCCTTCTACTGCTCGTATTCAGGATATAACGTATGTAATTCCTCTTATAGCAATTAAAATTTTCTAATTCATTAAGATTTACTATTTATTTAATATGCATGACAACGAGTTAATTATATATATTATTTGGATATGCATGTAGGATGAACTAATGTGGGCAGCAACATGGCTATACATGGCAACAAAGAAACCAATATACATGAAATATATACAAGAAGAAGCAATTAGTGCTAGTGTTTCTGAATTCAGTTGGGACCTTAAATATGCTGGAGTTCAAGTTCTTCTAACTCAGTTACATTTTGAAGGCCAGGAAGGTCTTGAAACATTCAAATTACATGGCGAAAGTTACATATGTTCGGTCCATCCTGAAAGCCCTTACCATCAGATTACTTTGTCTCCAGGTAAACACATATAATTTTTTTTATTTAATTGTTGTCTTTTTACATGTATAATTTATATATGCAGGTGGGTTTATTCATATGAGAGATGGAGCCAACACACAATATGCCACAAGCACATCTTTCTTGTTCACTGTTTATAGTGATTTGCTTGCCAAATATAGACAAAAAGTAAAATGTGGAAGCAAAGAATTTGACTCGTCCCATCTTTTTACTTTTGCTAGGAAACAAGTTAGTATACACATTATTTATACCTAAATTGTTGGCACATATGTTAATCTCTAATATTCAATGACTAATATATGGATTGTAAAATTGACACAAATGAACAGATGGATTACATATTGGGAGAAAATCCGGAAGGAAGATCATACATGGTAGGATTTGGGAAAAACCCACCTACACAAGCTCACCATAGAGGTGCTTCAGTGCCAAATTTGGCACCAGATGAAGAGATAATTTGTCCAATTAGCTTTGGAAAATGGTTACAAAGAGATGCACCGAATCCACATGAGTTAACTGGAGCCATTGTTGGTGGACCTGACATCAACGACAAGTTCAATGATAAACGTACGGATTCACCTCAGACTGAACCATGCACATATGTTAATTCTCTTGCTGTTGGAACTCTTGCTAAGCTTGCTTCTTTAGGTTAACTTAAATTCACTTCATGTTAGTGTGAAACCCAACATAGTTAATAGTGTGGTTGGGAGGAAAGATCCTTGTGGTCCATCAGATTAGATTATCCATTGTAAAATTCTTTAGGTGAAAACTCGTTTTATTGAAGAAATGTTCATTGAAATTTTATACTAGCATTATAATAGGGAAAAAGAAAATAATTGCACCCACGTTTACACCTAAAAACATGGTCATTAGTTTAAAAAACAAGCAAAAATGTTCCCTAACAAATATGTCTTTATTAACAAAATAAAACAACAACCAAAATGAGAAGAAGTCTTGTTTTCTTCCCTTTAACTTCACAATTATCACTAAGTCTTTATTTCTTCCTTGTCTTAGGCGGTTTGATTTATCTAGTTCCAAAACAAGAACGAGCAAAAAAGTCTTGTTTTCTTCTCTTTTTCTTCACAATTTTCACTAATTCTTTCTTTCTTCCTTATCTCGGATTTTTGCTCAATTCTTCACACTTTGTCATGACTTTTGCTCATTTTCATTTCAAATTCATCTACATTTTCTTATAAAAATCACATAATGATGACTGTAATTACAACCCCAAACTTAATCTATTTCTTGTCCTCAAGTAATTTGTCTGCTCACTAGACATTTCATAAGAATTAAAATGCTTACCCTTACGAATGAACGTCACCTTTATTTTTTTATCAACACTTATGTTCCTTGCTTCAATCCGATCAAGTTAAAAGATTTCTTCCAAACATACGAGTACTTAACTTATCTCTTATCTCACATATATGCAATCCGTTTGACAGGCTAATCACTCAATCAACATACAAAAGTATTTAAAAATGAATTTGAAAATTTTCTAATCAAATCAATCAAAATCATATTTAAACACACACTTTTGAGGTCTTATACAGGTCGTAACATAGCTTATTTCAGGGTAGGATAATTTAGGATGATATGCTTAAACCTTTGGATTTAGTTGCCTATTTTTCTCGATGTTATCGAATTCCTTATATATCACTCTTTAGTAATCCACTTGGTACTAGAGAATTGCATATTGTTGGTCTTATTTTTCACAATTTTTTTTGAAGAAGCTATTTTAACTTCTTAGTTTTCTTTCTTTTTCTTCTTTTTGACCAATTTCTCTAGTACCCTAACCCCAAACTTATTTGTTGCTAACTTCTAAGAGTAACCCCAAACTTATTTTTTTGCATCAGACAAGTAAAACAACTATTTCAACTAACTCCAAAGTCGGTGAAAATAATTTATCTTTCAAGTCAATGGATATATAATAAGGCTATGTCACCACACTAATGGTTTAGGTTCAAAGTGCTTAAACAACGAAATATTATCATATTGAAACAATTTGACTTAAAAGGCTTAGAGTTTTCACAAACAACTACCTTAATGTGTATTTATCATATCAATAAACTCAAAATTAGAAATAATGCAAATTACAGAAAATGACAAATGTATGGATACTCTCATAAGAAGGAAAAGTAAAATGTGGAAATATTTGGCTCAAACCTTACTAGCTGAGGTATGTGGAGATAGGGTACAAATAGTCGGTCTCCCTTTTCTTCATCAACTTTCAATATGCAAGGGAAATTCCTTGTTGATCTCTTTCATTCATTCTTTTTCTGGTGACTTTTTCTTTTCTTTTTCATCATGGCACTGGTAAGGTAGCAAATTAAAACCGAAAGAAACAACATAAGCAAACAAGTTCATTAATTAAAGCAAAGAAAAGTAAAAAGGAGAAAGCTTCCATGATGGATAGCTAGTACTCTTCCTTGGATCATAGTACAAAATAGAAATAACTAAAATATAATGAAAACTAAAAATGAAATAAATTTAAATAACATCGATCCGCGGGTTGCCTCCCATTCAGTGCTTATTTAAGGTTCTTAGCTTGACCATTTGCTTCTCCGTTGGGGTGGCATATATGATACAAATAATTCATCATCATTCTTATTCCTTTTGTTTGATAGGGCTCCCATGAACTTGAGGTATTTATGATGTTTCCTCTGTATCTCTTTCAATTTGATAGTAGCGAACAAGGCATAAATGACTTCTAAGGTTTTATCTATTTCTTCTCTTCCCTCTTCCTTGTCGCTAAAATAATGTTTATGGACATTCTTTTGTTGAAAATTCTCTTGTTGGATATTTGCATCTAGAAAAATTATTAACTTTGAAGCTTCATCCAAAACAAGATCATCATCACTTTGCACCCTTACTCTTTTCCCACATCTTTTTTCTACATCCGATTCTTCTATTCTTGATTTAGTGTTTCATTTGATGGCATGAATTTTTCTTCTTGTTGTTATTTTCCAACTCCTTCATCAACTACTTCTAATTTATCTTTGACTTCTCTCTCAACTTCATTATTCATAGGATTATTTAACATATTTCCATTAAGAAGTTAATTTGATTTAGCTGTCACTTGTTCAAATAACTGCCCGATTTGATTTTTAAGATTCGAATGATCTTCCAAGTTGCTTTGAGTAAACTTCATGAATTGCTTCATAGTATCTTCTAGAAGGGATTAAGTCCTTGGTGGTGGATCTTAAGGATCTTATTGGTTAAAATTGTGAAATTGATTTTTACTCCAGTTATGACTTGAATGATCATCCCATCATGGATTATATGTGTTGAAGTAAGGATATGGTTCTTGATGATTTATTAAATTATGCGTTTCTTCAACGTATGGTATGCAATAGCCATTTGCATGGCCGTCACCATATAAATCGCCTTAATGCCCTGATTGGATTAATATTTGCATGAATTTGAGTTGAGGCAGCAATTTGCTTTGATAAATTTTCTGGTTTTGATAATAGATCAGGCTGAAAATCAGCTCTGTCATACATGTCTTCCTTTACCTTATTGTTGGCGAGAAACACAAGAAAGGGGGGGGGGGGGTTGAATTAGGTTTCTAAAAACCAAAGCTTTTTCAAAACCAACGCAACAAGCAATAACATGAACAATAAAAATAAAAAGTTATTTTTATACTGACCCACTGTTAACGAAACTACCTCTAGTCCACCCTACCAAGGTGATTTTTGCTTTCAGAGTCAGAACCTGTTAAGCAAAAGTTACACACTAGACACAAAACCATTAGTGTATAAAATTATTCTCTAAGAAACAATGTATTGTTATCATCAAAACTAAATGTTAGATGCAGAACTAAATCTTGTTCTAACAATTGAAATTTGCAAACCTCTGGAACGACATCAAAAACTTGATGACAATTCTAGCAAGTGTACTAGTATCGTAGTTGTAATAAATAAAATTCATCTCCACAAGGATTATGAATTTTAACAAGGTAACTATTGTGCATATTAATTTAATGCAATTGGGGGGGGGGGGGAGATAATTTATCTGGTTCCAAAACAAGAACGAGAAAACTAAAAGAATAAAATTCAAGATGAGAAATGCAATTAGGTCTTTTATACTGAATCTCACTACAAATTAACAATACCACTCCACCTAATTTCTTGGTGTACAACTCACTAACCTAAACAATAAATTGCCTAGATCAAATGTGTAGACCAACCGTTAGAAATATATATATATATATATATATATATATATATATATATATATATATATATATATATATATATATATATATATATATATATATATATATATATATATATATATATATATATATATATATATATATATATATATATATATATATATATATATATATATATATATATATATATATATATATATATATATATATATATATATATATATATATATATATATATATATATATATATATATATATATATATATATATATATATATATATATATATATATATATATATATATATATATATATATATATATATATATATATATATATATATATATATATATATATATATCACTATGTCATAATTGACTTTTAGCAGCGCATACAAAGACAGCGCTGCTAAAGAGTAATTAAAAAAAAAAAGAAAAAAAATAACATACCTAAGACAACACTTTTTTAAAAGCGCTGCTAAAGGGGTACATTAAGAAAGCACTTTATTTAAAGCGCTGCTAAATGTATGGCCTAAGACAACGCTTTTTTAAAGCGCTGCTATAGGGTAGTCCTAAGAAAGCGCTGTTGTAGGTTGTTGCAAAGCAAGCGCTTTCGTTCTAAAGCGCTACTATATGTTTATGCAAAGAAAGCGCATTTACAAAGCACTACTGTAGGTCATTAAAAGTGCTGCCATAAGTGTTATTAGAATTAAATTAAAATATCACAGAATTTTGTAAAGAAACAGAACAGTGCTCGCGCGTTCTTCATTCTTTCTTTCTCCTCTCTGGCGAACCAGAGCCGTATTCACCACGACCGTCGCCCTCCTCCGTTCGACTGCCGCGCCTCCGTCACCCTCCTCCGTTCAGCCTGTGTTTCATTTCTCCTCCATTTGACCGTCCGTTTTCGATACCATCCTCTGTAGCGCATTTCCGCCATTGTTACGGTATTTGAAGATTTTCATTTTGCATTTTTCTGGATTATTGTCTTAGTATTTCATTTTTCTGGATTATATGATGTTAGTGTTACTTCTTTTCTGAGTTATTGACTTGTTTTTGTTGATACCGTTGATGAGAATTGCTCTTTTGATATTGGCTTGAGTTTTGTATACAAGGTGTTTGTTGAAATGCCACAATGAATTTACTTATGTTAACTTTCATTATATCTAGCAATATACAAGGTGTTTGTTGAAATGCCACAATGAGTTTTGTATACAAGGTGTTTGTTGAAATGCCACAATGAATTTACTCTTTTGAATATAATGTGTTCTTATGTATTTTTAACAATTGCTTTGAGAAGTTTCTTTAGAATGTGGCCATGTTTTTTAAAACGTTTTTGTTTGTTCTTTTTATGAATATACCAAACACATGTTTGTTGTTTTATGCTTTGTTTTTGCACTACCTTATCTATATTATTATTTTGTTGTCTTTTTGTTCATGATGATTCTATTTGGGGCGTTTGATTCATATTTTGGCATAGTGCA